GGGAGGGCAGAGCCCGGCCCGTTAACGCCAGGCTGTCAAAACCGGTAAAACGGAGAACAGCAGCGTCCAGGCACTGACGAAAAGCCAGCAGCACGGCGCAGGGTGTCGGCTTTGCATTGAAAAGCCCCGCACGCAGCCCCAGTCAGATATGCCCTTAAGTCAGGGAATCCCAGAGCGCAGGGCGCTGCAGGGCATTTTATGACAAAGGGTAAAATGCTGTTATTGAGATGAGAATTCATACAAAGCACCAGGTTAAAAGCCTACAAGAGTTTCAAATTTTAATTCAAACTTTCAAGTTTCTCATGGAAGGAAATCCCATCTCTCCCACATTGATGCAAAACAGATTCGGTTATCTTAACCTGATAAAATGCTATGCTATCAGTGACTCTAGAAAAATAAGATGATCACGTCTTAAAGGGTACTTTTCCATAGCAAGCAAATTGTTAACAGTTTACAGAAAGGAAATAAATAGTTATCCCATTAGAGCAGCCTATACATTGTTTTAGCACAATTCTTGTTTTGTAGCATTTCAATTTACAAAACTAAGCACACATGCGAGTAATATAATACAGAATGTCAACAGCCAAACACAGACACAGAATTTACAGATAGTGGTTAATCAGCAGCAGCACACAACTCAAAGCTGGTAGGAAAGTTTAAAATGAAAATTTTGAAACTGATAGACACTGACCCAACAGCAAAAAGACATTTTGATTCAGAGAAAAAAAATAAACCCTCAAAAACTTTTATTGATGCATTACTAGTTTCAGTTCCCTCGCTTGCTCATTTATGAAAAAAACTGAAGTAGTTTAAGAGAGATTCCCAATATTTGCCACCTACAGGTGAGATATTTGAAGACTCAAAAGGTATCCTGAAAAAGATTAATCTTAACTTAGTGGAATGGATTATAGGAAGCTGACACTCTAGACAGTGCCTAGAAGCATTCAAATTCCACTAGCTGCCTACATGACAGAATTTGAAAGATGTTGGTGAAAATTCATTCCCTTACAGTCCAAAGATCAAAATATGTACAATTAAGTTAATGAGTACTACTAGTACAGCTAGTACTAGGCTCAGCTCCTGCCTGAAATCAAAAGGAAAAAATGAGGATTTTAGTCAGTATCAAGCTCCTG